ATATTGACACCTGGTTTTCAATTCCCTTTAGACTGCGTGAAGAAATTATAAAGTCCAGGAGGCGGACTATATTATTAGTTTTTCTACATCACACTACAAAGATATCCCCGTAAAATAAAGGTGATACTCTTAGTATTCAAATTAATGCCTCAGTACAATGGAAAAGTCGGCAAATTAAATGCCTCAGTACAATGGAATAGTATAATTAAAGTGGAAAAAGAATCGATCGCTTAGTTACAAAATCGATGAGGAAGAAAGGTTTTCCAGTGGCATTCTCGAAGAGACCAAGCGTAGCGCAATCCCGCCCAATCGATGCAGTGACGACCAAAATACGATTTGTGACAGTCTTTGCAAGAGTGTTCTGGCCCTCTCAGTATTCATTTTATTCCTTTAATTTATCTTTACTTTATTTATAAGTCAAGATATTCTTAAGCACTATTTATGATACATATTCTTCACTTTTTCACTCACTATTTTTGGCCTTCTAAAAAATAAATTATAAACAAATTTTGCACTAAAATTGTTACATGACTATCTTGTCTCACAATGTATACAACAAACCATATGTCAACGGTATTGGCAAATTATTGGTCTTTAAGCCCTAAGTAAATGTTTATTTCAGAAAAAAATAGACGCTTATTTGGTAATATGAAATTTTGTTTATAACTTTAAACACATCCTACAATTAAAATATTCTTAAATTATTAACATTTTTTTTCTTATTAAATTTTTTAACACAGACAACACTTACGCTAAGGCTTACGCGTTAATTCACATCCACCTTGGTTTGTTTGTCAGACCCTAATTTGACGCTGTAAAGTTTATATATGAGTGGCCGCGTCTGTTAGTAGTAATGAATTCAACTTGAGTTTTACGAGTATGTAATTATTTCTGGTTTAATTCGTTTTTAAATAGTTGACTGTTTGTCTTAATTTACAATTTCTTTCATTGTCGATTAGTAAGACCGAAAAATGTTTTGTAATTTTTTTGCAGTCAACTATTATTAAATGTTTTTTTGTGAAGAACAAATTATTTTAAAATTAATAAAGTTTATCTCCGTTGTAGTGACATTTGTTGAGTTATATATATATTATATAGTTTGTAGGTTAGGTGGTGCATTAACTTATACGAGACATATGTCAAAATGTGTGCGGACGGGGCAAGGCTTGAGAATGGAGAGGAAACAATCGATAGTGTTTTAGTTTTACAGTGGCGGCGAGGAAATTTGTTAGGGTCAGTAGGGGTAAATGCAAAAACGGGGTAAAAGTAAGTTGCCCACATTTTGATCTATGTTGTTTGCTGGTGCTGTCATCTCTGGAACTTGTAGTGTACTATTTCGACGGTAAGCCAAGCACTTCCAAATACTGTTTTATCGACACGGCGTCATGTGACATTCATACATGACGTTCGCTTATTTTTTTAAAGACAAATTGGACTACGATAAATAAATCGACATTAATCCGTTCAAGCAAGGTAAAATTTTAAGCTTTTTTTTTACAAGTGTAGTTATTTAACATATTCTTAGCCGTTTTATATCAGTATTTTAGCAAAATGACTAAAAGTGTAAACTTGAGGTAGGTGACACATTTGCCCCCCCAAAAATAGCAGGTAGGGGCTAATGTATTAATTCCTGGAAGTAAATGTAATAATCCATTGCATTTACCCCTTTTGTGTTGTTTGTTGCAGATGGTACGGACATTATGTAAAAAAAAAGATTGGAGAACCTAATTACACGGAAGAAAAATTGAGAGAGAGCCAGTGAGATAAGAGCTCATACTATGACAGTTAACAGAGCTTCCGAAGTATATAAAAAATACCATTTTCAACGCTATACTGCCGTTATAAGGGTACGAGAGGATTAATAAAAAATTCGAAAGGCCGGACAACTGTTCTCCCTTGAAAATGTAGAAAACACCCTAGCTACCTCAGTAAAAACGTTGGCTAAGTGGGGCTTGGCCTAAGCAGAAAAGATCATGGAATTGGTAGGACAATATGTTAAAATAAACAATTTTAAAAACACCTTCAAAGATGGCGTTCCAGGTGAGGACTGGTTCCTAGGATTTAAAAGACGCCATCTTTTATCGATCCGGAAGCCTGAGCCTATGGAATACTCCAGAAAAAAAGCTGTAACTGACCCCTTCATAATTTTTGGATATTTCGATCTTCTTGAAAGAACTCTCACTGACTTAAAGTTAAAAGATAAGCCCCAAAACATATGGAACCTTGACGAAAGTAGCTTAAGTATTGACCCAGCAAGAACAAAAAGTTGTCGGAGAAAAAGGCCGAAGTGTGTCTAGAGTAATCAGCACTACAGGGAAAGAAAACACAACTTTTGTTTTAGCCGCCAATGCCGTTGGTCATAGGATTCCACCATTAATTATCTTTAAAGGTAAAAATATGTGGGACCAATGGCGAGCACCTACAGGCAAAGAATTTCCAGGGACGGCTTACGCCGCGAGCCCGAATGGTTGGATGGAAACAGAGATTTTCACTAACTATTTCAAGAAGACCCTTATTCCAGCTCTTGGCAGTGAACGACCTATGTTAGTGCTATATGACGGTCATGCCACACATTTTTCTGTTGATCTTGTGGAAACAGCGATGGCCAATGACATAACTATTCTTAAAATTCCAGCGCACACCAGCCATCGTCTGCAGCCATTGGATGTTTCTGTCTTTAAATCCTTTAAAGAAAATTGGGATCAAACAGTAACAAAATGGCAACGGCAGCATATTGGGCAGAGATTGCCTAAATCTTTATTCTCTCAATATTTAGGGGAAACTTGGATTAAAGTTTCCGAAAGTTGTATAGCCAATGGGTTTAGCAAGGCTGGAATTTATCCTTTTAACCCCAACATAATTCCTAGAGATCATTTTTCCAAAGAATCCCTGGAACGCTGGGAAATCTCGCAAGTAATGGCCAATCCTATGCCATCAGCATGTAGCCTTCCTTCGATCTCGTCTTCTCGAGAGAATTTCTCGGAAGAAGCCCTGGAAAACAGAGATAATTTGCAAGTTTCTTCGATTTCATCGATGACTGATGAAAGCCAACGAACATCTGACAAAAGCAACTTAGAACACACTTCAATAGAAGGCATAATTCTATCTACTATCCATCAAAAACGTTTACCACCGAAGGAAAGGAAACGGAAAGTTGCATCAGGCGCTCAGGTCATTACTTCTCATGAAATTCTTGAAGTTCTACTAAAAGATGCAGAAGAGAAGAAAACTAAGATCAAAAAAGCCAAAAGAAAGACAAATAAAGAAAAGAAAAATAAAAAAAGAGCAGACAGCGATAGTACAGATTTGGAATCGGAAATTTCTTATGCTGAGTCGGGAGAAAGTGATTTTCCTGAATACTTGCAAGGAAATGATCCGCTGTGTTCTAGAGAAGATGATATATTACCTTTTGCGGGGGAAGAACTACAATTACTAGAGCAAAAAGATCCGATGGATATTGAAGAAAATTCAGACAAAGAAAATTTAGATGAGGGAAATTTAAACAGCATCAGGAAGAATGATTTAGATATATCTTTACATACAGGCAAATGGGTGATAGTGAAATACTCCTTAAAGAGGTCAAATAAATATTATGTAGGTATCATAAAAGACAAAATCGACGATTGCTGGGAAGTTCAATATGTAAGACGGGGCAAAAAAAGCTTTCATATGGCTGGAGGTTCAAGATTTTGACTTAATTGATACAGATTGTATAATTAAAATTTTAGTACCTACCCCAAAATTGACGAAACGGGGCCTTATAATCTTTGATTATGATTTCATAAAATTTATTCGATTGTTTAATTAGTATGTATTTAATTTTAAGAAAAATTCATATCTCTCTAATTTCTTATCCTATTTTCTTCAAATAAAAACCAAATAGTAGAGCCAATTTTGAATTTTCTTGCAATTTCCCCAATTCTTTTAGATTTCATCCGTAAATAAATCCCACATCGCTATTACATTTGCCCCTTTTGACTGGGGAAATGTAATAACGGTACCCACTTTTCTTAAAAAATATTTTAAAAATACTTTAGCTTTAAATGTTATAATTTATTTCTGTTTCCAATAGTTATTTAATAAACGCTTAATTAACCCCAATAAATGGTATAACTGTGGAGTTATTTAATCAAAAGTATTACGACAATGAAGATGGAGTTTGTAGTGATGAGGTTTGCATTTACCCCTATTGACCCTATAATAAGTGTATAAACTGAGAAAAAAAGTTGTGGAATACAATAGCAAATATCGGCAGGCTCCTTCTATCACCTCTTCTAGAGGGAACTACCCAACACTTCACCAATCTCCAATGCCAATTAAAAACATTTCTT